CTCCTCTCCACCTTCGTCCGCAGAGAGCTTCATTTAATCGGTTGATTGTAACTTCTACGACAAATTCGATGGGATGTTCACTTCGCTTCGCGGACGGAATTTTTTGTCGTTTAAATCTCTGATTTAATAGCTTTTTTCTATTTCACAATTATCGCATTTTTGAATAAGAGAGAGAATTATTGTCGTTGTTATCAGTCGGGAAACGCACTGCTCGACACAACGTCCTGAGAGCAGGACGTCGATGGACGGTGATGTAATTTTGACGATCATTGACTTCCCGTTTTGTGCGAGTTTTCGCCGCGAGATTCTGTTTTTTTCTTCGCAATGACTAGTCAATCGTTTAATTGCACGTGTAATGTTGCACGAGTCGAGAAACGTTGTTATTCCGCAGGTCGTCGCTATTTTCCTGCATTGTTCATCAGACACCTGCGTTATTCTATTTAAGAAGACGAGAAATCATTTATTACATTTGTTGGAGAGACTGAGCGTGCTTGAGATAAACACATATATATATATATATATATATATATATATATATATATATATAGAGAGAGAGAGAGAGAGAGAGAGAGAAATAAAGATAAATTATATATATAGAATATATATATATATATAGACAGAGCGCGCGAGAAAGAGATCGTTGGCAAGCGCAACCTCGTGGATTTAATGTTGATGTGTAAGTTGATGTACGTAAATAGCGCACGAAACAAAATGAATGAAAAAGGGAGAGAATGACATAAGTTCTAATGCGATGAGAGAATGAGAGAGAGAGAGAGAGAGAGAGAGAGAGAGAACGAAGGAGAATTAACATTGTTGTAATATATAGATTAAGTAGTGTGATCGTGATTATCGACAAGGGTACCTTTCCTTATTAGGATATATAATTTGTAAGGACACATAACACACATATATATACATATATGTATATGTTATTGTGTACGTGTACGTACATATGTGTCCTTTTTTCTTCAGACCTGCGTTAAAATCCCTGAGTTCGACTTCATTTCAACGATCTTGGTATCATTGCTTTCGGGCGAGTGTGTGTTCTATGGAACGACTGCATGGCGAGAATTAAGATAAGGAGAAAAAAAAAAAAAGAAAAATAACAAGGGACCAATGTCGCTGAAACCGAACGGATGTCGCGGATTTTATCCCGGGTCTGGAAAAATAAGAAGCGCGCGTACCCGGAACTCTGTATATCGTATTATGCCTGTGCACAGTGTCGGACAAAAGAGGAGAGAGAGAGAGAGAGAGAGAGAGAGAGAGAGAGAAAGCGCAAAAAAACTGTGAGAAAAAAGAACATTCTAAAATAGAACGCTCGGAGAAAGTCCGTAATAACGTGTTTTAATCGATCGGCATCGGCCGACCACCACCTCTTTGGTAACCTCAAGAGCGATCGCGCTTGTCACCGCTTGTGGAATTTTGCGGCGAATAATATCGCGACTGCGGCAGCGAGGAAGCCACGCGAGGGCATCCGTCGTCGTCGTCCAAGGACGGCGAATTCGCCGCGGATTTCCACTCAAAAATTCCGAGACACGCGGATCGCGCGACGTTCGCGACGAATAAGATAAAAAAAGAATGAAAAACTAATCGAATGCGCCGTTGGGCGGCATTGCTTTCGTTCGTTTCCGATCCGTTTCTCAACGGAGAAGTGGACTGTACACACGCTATGTTATACACACAACGCATACACACGCACATGCATCACACGATATCGTAGAACGCCTACAGGCGAAAATGCAAAGAATGACGCATTGATCGTCTGTTTTTTTTTCCTCTGTCTTCTTTCTTTCGTAATGGTGTACAGTAAACTTGGCGCACCTGTTTTGATCAGCAAACTATACATTTTTTCAATTTTGTCATGTGTTCTCACTCGTGCAGAGTGTTCTCCCTTTCGTCAGAAATTACCGCGTTCATTCTTTGCATCTCCGTTCTGCGTGTCTAATTAGAGAGCTAGATCTATATTCTAGTTTGAGAGGAGAAGTGTGAATCGCGGATTATTTGTGTCTATATACATATATATATATATATTTCCTGACACACAGCTTACGTACGTGGATGTACCTTGCGATGATAATTGAACTTCTTAGTATATCTATCGCTCGCGAACAGTAATATTAGCGCACAGTCTAACGTTCAACCGAATGTACAATTTCCTCTGATAACGAGGAGAGGGGGAGGGAGGGTTGGGATGACGACGAGGGAAGGAACCCGGGAGAGTTAGCGAAGGGTTGGTAACGTGAAACAGAGGAAACAGCCGTCCGTAATAGTTGCAAACTTTAGCCCGACATGAAGTTAGGAAGCAAGGTGTACACCGCGAAGAAAGAGAGAGGCGGATGCAGTGATCGCTGCATCAATCACGCTGATAACTTGTCGTTGCGTAGCGTCACATGATGTATATTGTACGAGATGTGTTACGTTTTATCCGTAGTTATTGTTAAACGGCTTCGCGTTGCGGAAAAGCAACTTATGTTGTGTCCGAGAATATATTTGCACGAGTCCCTGAGAGTAAGAGTCTAGACACGTTTGACTTTCGATCGAAAATGGCGTCAAAGATTTGTTTTGTCTCTCTCAAGGGGGTGTCTACTCGAGTTCACCGTTATATAAGAGAAATTTTCCTATACATTTATTTGTAATATTATTGACAAAAATAGAGATCTTCCTTTTCTAATCTCTGTGAAGTTAATTTCTTCCATGTTTATCTCTCATCATGAAATTGCGATTTCTTCCGCAGAAAAGTCTCTAGAACTTTGTAGAGTCTCTTTGTATGATGAACCTCAGATAAACCGCCGTTTTCGGTCAAACTAGATCAATTTGTGAGAAGTCAGTCTCTTACTTGAGGAACTCCCCACACAAGGCTCTCGTCCCCTACCCACAACACCATCTCCCGATTTTTAGCTCGCGACGTGGATACGCGTAGATTACGTCGCGTTCTCATTAAGGGAGAACAAAAGAAGAAGGAAGAAAAATTGATATCGTAGATTTAATCTTAAACACTACTCGCGCGCCGCGCTGCGAAATTCCGGCGGGAAGGAGGAAAAGAGAAAACGTGAAGAGACAGACGAGAAGAAACCGTTGACGCATGATGCATTGAGCGGCCGCATATACGGAACACACACACGCAGACACATTTATTTTTTTATACATACATATCTCCTAAACATTCGGCTAATAGAGTACGTATTTCCTCTGAGTGACGCGATAAAGAAAAAAAAAAAAAAAGAAGCACCGTCATCTCGTCGCACCGTGCAATGCCAAATAATAATAATAACGATAATAATAATAATCGACCAGGGAACTCGCGCAAGCGATACGGATTCGACGTTTCACGAGCTCGCTCGAATACGTTTCCTTTTTCGGCGTACCGAGCACCATCAATTGCGAGTATATTGATTTCGCAAGTACAGACTCGCGCGATCTATTTTGCGTAACTTTAACAATAGCATTTGTTAGTTTTGTACAGTTGTTATTACGGGAGTGCATCGCTCGACCAGTGCAGGGCCTCTACAAATGATGAATCCGTGCATAAACGCATAGCCAATTGTTGTTCGGAAGAACGATGTAATCAAGAAAATCAAAATGAAAGAGAATAAGAGAGAGAGAGAGAGAGAGACATAGAAAGAGAGTTACCGGATTACGTTATTACAGAAGAGAGTGGATCCATATATAAAAATGCCTCCTCGCGCGCGATCGTGATCTTCAAAGTAGCACGACGGAATTTTTTGTTCCCGATAATAGCGCTCATTGCGCGTTATTTCCGATCGCGCTTGATGAATTTACTTAAGCCTATCTCGTCGCAATAGAGACACGTATATAGAACTATGTGCGTGCGCGTGTGTGAGTGTGCGTGCGTGCGTGCGTGTGTGTGCGGATATGATATGCATGACGTGGTTGTCACCGAGTCGAGAAGTCTGACAAAAAGTATATAATTTACAATTGTGATAGAAAGAGAGAAAGCGAGAGTGAGAAAGATATATATATATATATATATATATATATATATATATATATA